GCACTTCTTTTTCTGGTTTCCATTTTGGGCACAGGCGTGAAAATGCTGGGTGCTCACCCTTGCAATTTATACACAAAGACGCAGCGGTACAATTTTCAGAATCGTGGCCAATCTGTGAGCATCGGGTGCATGTGAGGCTGCTACAACAAGAAGTCTTAGAAGGGCCGAAACGTTGGCATTGGAAGCATCGCATAGGGATTGGAATATAAGGTCTTACAGGACAATTCAAGTATCCGGCCTTAATATTCTTAGGCAGATCAGGCGTTTTGAAGGTCAGGATCATGTGTTTTGTATATATCAAATTACCTTCCTTATGCATCTTGAACACCGCAGACATTTTGGTCAGACAGCTCGGATGTGATCTCTTCTTCAGAAGCATACAGAAGGTCGAATTCTGAGATTACACCATGACAATAATTCAGTGTCTTATGTGCTGTTACTGTGACATTTATATTTCTCGGCTCAACAACACAAGACTGGATGTATTTATTTATTATGAAAGGAGACATCTTATGCAGCTCGCCAGAAGGACTAGAGATAACAAGGAAATGGGGACTATTGTTAGGATTATTTGTATTTGTATCTGTACATACTTTTTAGCAGATTTTTCAGAGTTAGTGCTTTGACCAACTTCACTAATTTCGAAGTCTTTAATTAGAAAAATTTGAAAGTTGGCCATATTGAAGAAAGAAAAAATTCGGGTCCGACGGCCCCACCCACTAGGGAGCTCAACAAGGGAACACAGATTCCTGTGTTCGGGCTAGCCAGACCTATATGCAAACTGAAGCCCCACAGTCTGCTTTTCCGAAAGCAGGTACTCCCGAGAGCTTATCCCCAAGGCAGGGTTCATAGCCACATTTTAGTTAAAAAAATAAGCACCTATAAGCACTTTTCAAGCACATTTTAAGAAAAAAAATAAGCACCTGCCTAATTACATCATACACAACTGCATAACCTTAAAAATTAGACTTGTAATTTAAAATATGAGAAATGAAGTACTTATTAAGAGAGAATAAGCATTACCTCAACCATGGAAAATAATTACTTTTTTTTGTTTTTAATTTTAAATAATAGTTCAATTTACAGAACTAGTTTACAATGAGAGAAAAAAAAACTATGAAGAACTAAACTATATTACAAGATTTAATGATGAAATTTCAGTTCAAAATAGAGAAAATAAATAATAATAAGGCATATTTATTGCATTCGCTTGGAACCTAATAATAAACACAATTTACTTTTCCACTCATATTGATATTGAAATAATTTAAATCTAAATTCTGAACATTTTCTAACTTTTAATTGTATATCAGTTTTCTCTTAACAGATATTGCAAGCAAAGTAATTTAAGTAAAAAAGAGGAACATTTCTGAAATCAGAAGACAGAAATTTGCTTCATGCAGTCATCTTTAACAGTAAAAGCTTAACTAATGCGCATACTTGGAAAATGGCAAATATTCGGACAGTCGAGCGTAACTTGAAGGAGCGGAGGGGGGGGGGAGGTAGACTGTAGCCACTCTTCAGATTTTTCCCCTAAATAAATGCTTTTGACATTTCAATATGTGCATCATAAAAAATAAACCAACCGAACTAAAAAATATTCCGCTTAGCAAGCACAGTAAAACTCTTTTAAGTGCTCATAAACAAATCTCGGACTGAACATCAAAATTAATTATCTCTGCAAAATATCGCAAACGTTATTGCGCAATACGTGCACCGTAATTCTTCCCTACGTGATATTACGCAATCGGAATCAACAACTGCTGGTATTGGGAGAAAAAAGAACTAAATAACTGGAGTGTTTTTCATTCTAATTTTCAACAGACGGCGTTAAATTTCCGGAATAGAATCATTCTTCGCTTGGGTTGGTAGACCACAGAACTTTTAGTCCTATTCAATCCAGATTGGAAAGTGACCCCCCCCCCCAAAAAAAAGGTCCGTTGCTTGTTTTGCAGCAAACTGTAACAGTTTCAATATTCAAGATTTTGCGGAGAAAGGGGAGACCTCCCAACCTTTATACTGTATAATGCATTGGCCAAAAAAATGAAACTATTTTGACTATTCGATTACTTTCCCTTTATTTAAGCCATTCCGAATATTATTCCTTAGAAAGCTAATCTGTGTTAAAACACAACCATTTTTGGAAGTTTACTATACTTCAGCAGTTACTGCAACTATGTTATTATAAACATTCATACATATGCTCATAATATAAGCATAACGATCATAATAAACACGAATATGAACTGACCAAGCAGAACGAGAATGCAAATCTTTTTAAGATCTTGATAGAAATTCAAACGTGTGTAGTATTTGGGTGGGAGGAAAAGAATGCCGAATGTAGCGGGATTTTCTACTGCTTTCGCAATTCTTTGACTAACAGAACGATGGGCACCTGTCTACTCTTCGTGCACACCAAAGGTTATGTTAATGCAGAGAAAGGGGGAAAAGCTGTTTCCGGGAGTATGACTCACCATCTGACATTCCATATTAGGAAGAAAAGTTGTTTATTTAGTTTCGGCTTTGGTACGGGGAAAAAATAGCGCGTTCATAAAAAAAAAAAAAAAAAAAAAAAAAAAAAAGAGCACTAAAAGCAAAAAATAAGCACTAAAAACAAACAAACAAACAAACAAACAAAAAAAAAAAAAAAAAAAAAAAAAAAAAAAAAAAAAAAGGGGCTTTAAAGAAAAAGTAAGCACCTATAAGGGCCTTTATATTTTATTTTCAAATATAAAGACTTATAAGCACTTATAAGGACCGCTACGAACCCTACCAAGGACTAGTGACCAGCTGATTGACACCAGTGAGGACGACAAAGGTGCCTCCCGTTTAGCTGAAGCAGAGGCCAAAGCAGTGTGTTGGGGGACAGTACTCGCCCCTCAACTACCAGGACCCTCCTTTCCAGCGACACGGGTCTCCATGCACGGCAAACACGTGGGCAGTTTTCTTGCCACTTCAAAACTTGAGACAAGGGCTGCTCCATTTACTTGTGACAAGCCCCAACCTCTGAAGAGGAAAACCACAAGGGAGAATGGAAGGAAAAAAGTATCAGGTCAGAGGAGAGGTGACGGAAAAGAGGATAGATCACTGGGGCTCCAGGATCGTGACACCCGTCTCACCAAGAAGATGAAGGGCTAGGGTACCTCGGGATTGCCACACTGATACTCACAAGAGTGAGCCCCTGAGGGGCATATTGCAAGGACCACCATGGATTGGTATAGTGATAATGGGGTTAACTGAATAGACTGGCCTGACCAGAATTGAGACCTGAACCCAAATTAGAACCTCTAGGATGAGTTGAAGTGCTAAATTAAGGAGTGCAACAACCGCTTAAAGAAGGTGAAGGAACTTGCATGTCCTCCAAGCCCAGTGGGAAAAAAATAACCAACAACAGTCATACAAGGACTTGTGGACAGCATGCCCCGGAAGGTTGGCTACAATTACCACTTGGAAAGGCTCTACCAACTTCTCAACTCAACAAATTTTGCTTTTCTTTTCTGTTACAGATGTTTAAATACTTTTTGGTAGATTGTGTATATACTACATAAAGAAACCTCTTCTAAAAAAAGGAACTACTTTAACTTTTATATGCAAGTCTGAATTCACTGGTACTGTTCATGTTTTTTTTTATTGTACTTTAATGCCATTTTTAATTTAGTTTGAAGCTTTTATTTTTTGAAACTTAAATTAGTTTCCATCAATTTCTCCAATTCTAATGATGTTTATTCTTCCCTTAGAAGTGAGATACTTCTGTTTTATACTGATTTACTTTATGCAAGTTAATTTCCAGGATTAAACTGCACAAAAACATAGGTAAACTGTTAGCAATAACCACCATAGTAATATCCTCCATTAATTATAATATGGCTCCATTAATATAAAAAGGTTAATTATAATATAGTTATATAATATAATAATATGGTTACTAATATAAAATGGCAACAAAGATTTCAAAACACATCTCAAATAATGAATAAAAGTAGACAGTAATAATGTAATGGATAGATTTTTAATTAATTTTTAATATACTCTGACACTATTTTAACTAGAAAAAGGAAGCTAATGAAAAATAAATAATATTTAAAAATGACTGTGTTATAAAATAATTTTAAAATGTGTTAAAATTGTATTTAAGGCTTCTAGGAATTGAGATCAAGCTTTAAGGTCTCTTGCCCTACGGTGAGTAAGAGGGGAAAAACTTCAAAATCACACTGTTGTATTTTCTTTTGATTGATATGAATATATGTATGAATATACTTTGTGGCATTATGTTTGAATTTCACTAAAAAAATCATCTTTATTTAATTTACATCTCCCCTATTAGTAATAGTTGTATATAATGTGAAAGGTTAATTATAAATTAATAATTATGGGTTAAAAGGCATTTCTTCTGTTGTGAAGAGGAGCCTCATATCTGAGTTCCAATTATTCTACCATAATCAAAATCATGGCTTAAGGGCAAGAAATCTAATTTGATAGTTTATATTACTTGGAATGGAAAAGTGAAGAAAAGAGGTAAGTGCTTTGTATCATTGCTCAACTTTGGCTGCTCTTGCTTTTTAGCACTTCAAGTATTACCATCATTTTATTGGATTATTGCAGCATTAAAGTATCAATAACTATAAACTTTTTTTGGCACCAATCATTCTTAAATTTTTCTAACATTTATTTTTTTTAACTGCCCTTGGATAAATTTCAGTTTTCAGTTTATTGCACATCAGTGTCATAAATAACACTTATTTGTGAAAAACAAAGAAAAAATTATTCTAAAGGCGAAATATGTTTTTCACTGAGTGCAATATTAATTTCACTGACAGCATTTCCTAAACTTTCTTTAAAATAAAGAAAACTAATGAAAGATCTTAGGCACCATTGAGTGGAAACAATTTGAGATCTTTGTATTATATAAAAACAATTACAGGTCTTTGAAAGTAAGATAATTTTTGTAAAAAAAATGTTACTTATAAAAAAGGAGTATTATTACTTGCATCCTATTTTACCTGATTCGCGAGGTGCTGGGGTTGGATACTGAAAATGAGGTTGTGTAGCAACATTTGGAAAAAAATCTGGAGCATTTCTCAGCCTTTGTTGGAGGTTTGACATAAGCAAATGAGGCCTAGAATCTGGATGTGCAAGCCTATTTGGTGGTGTTTGTGTTACCCGTAACCTTCGAGGGTCTGGACCATCTGTGCTTGAATAACCAAATAAATTTTGAGATCTTGAGTTTAAAAATCTTTGACGGATTTGGTTGCACCTTTCCTCTATACAAAGTTGATTCAAGTTATCTAGTGCAACCTGAACAGGATCAAAACCTGTAAGAAGGTGAAAGAAAACTTAATTCACAATTTTTGAATGATGCAAAACAGAACATTAGAGACTTGAATGCTATAAAAACATTTCCCCTATAAAAATACATAAAAAATTCAGTTTTCATATATTTCCTAAATAATAATTAAAAAAGATCTCAAATTTTTCAAATCTTTCAGAGAATAATAAATACAAAACAAAAATGATTTAACATTAAATACTTTAATAATGCAAAATTTGAAATCTGCATTTAACAAAAACAAATTTAAGAACAGAGTTTTTTAAAAATACTTATACATTTAAGAAGATGCAAATAAATTTAGCAAGTGTATAATTTAAACTCCGGCATCTAAAAGTTTATTTTCTTGATGCAATTAGACAAAATACATCTGAGCAACGGTTAAATTTTTTTCCCCTTCCCAAAAATATATTACCAAATTCATTACAATTTCCAAGAAACAAGATCATAAAGAAAATGCGAGGAAAAACAAAAAAAACGAGAATGCTCTAATAAATCTGAAAAACATAAATATGTACTGTAATTAAAACAGTGCAGTATTTAAAATATACTTACACTGTTTGCAACATAAAGGTGATTTTGGAAATAATTATAGTCTAGTTCAGGTGAAAAGTTTCATGGAGAAAATAACTACAATATGCTAAAACCTTAAAGATTAAAATTATAAGTCTAATCATTTTAAAAACAAGCATAACTGAATGAACTTTATTTTTCTTTTTGATATCCATGGCTCCCAAAATAAAAAAGCAAATGTAACCAATCCTTTAACATAAATTGTTGGACTAACTGTAACAACAAGTCTGCCCTCTGGTGAGTAGCCAGAGGAGTACTTCAGTAAAAGCCAAGGCTCCCATTTGATAGGTTGTACCAGACTTTTGCTCTGTAATTTTTTCTTAAAGTTAAATGTAATGTCTGTGTGTAACTTAAACCTGTTAATAAATACTTCAATATACTTACACACTATACAGTTTCTACACTATACAGTACTCTTCTACACTATATACTATACACTATACTTCTACACTACACTACACTATACAGGACTCTTCTATGACCCTATCTAAAACGACCCCTTTACACAAAGAGATTTTTTCTAGAGATGGAAATTTCATATGAAAAGATGCCCAATATGTTGATATCATGAAACAATCTTCTGATTTTTCCAACTCTTTTCACAATGTCTTGAATTTATTCATTCATAATGCTGAACTTTTAAATTCAACCATTTCTAAAATAAAATTGTCAACTTTAAGATAATGAAAATACTGCAAATCTAAGATATTTTTATCTATTTTTGTCATGCTTTATTACAAAAGTAAACATTTCATAATGTTGCTTAAAAATTTGAAATCAACTTTCAAATTCACTTTTAAATCATTTCTAAGCTAAAACTGTCAACTTTAAGATATTGAAAATACTGCAAGTCTAAAATACTTTCATCTATTTTTTCAGACTTTATTATTAAGGTAAACATTTCGTAGTGTTTCTTAAAAATTTGAAAACGACTTTCAAATTCACTTTTAATGCACAAAATCCAACTTTCAAACATATTACGAATGTCTTATCCGATATTTTCTTTTTCATATCGTCCTTTTAACAACAGAAAGAAATGAAATTCTTTTTTTTTATGAGTGTTTCTAAGAAATCAACATTCATTATACCAGTTAAGTAAAAAAGCATAAACGAAAATCTTTATAATTTAATTGAGTCTGAGATCACTGTTTACTATTTTCGTACAGAAATACTTGTATCTCATCAAAATACTTTTTTCAATGACACTTAAGTCTGGTGAATGATTAATGACTTTGGGGCAATTGTAAAATAGCCACATATAGGCATTGAGAGCAGAATGTTTTGGGTCATTACCCTGATAAAACCGAAAAGTGTCTGCTATCTCAAATTGTCATGTACTATGTTTTAAATTATCTTTTAACAGACTGATATAAGTATACTGATTCATCATAGATTCTATAAACACCAATCGGCCAATACCTGCTGCGGTGATGCACCCCCCCTTTGACCATGCTTTACAGTTTTTCTCAAGTTTGTTGGATTTCGTTCTTATTGGAGTTTTGCCATAATTTTACCTTTCCCTTCAAAGAAAACAAATTGGATTTAAACTCATCAGCAAAAAATACGTTCTTCCAAAAGGTAAATGTCTCTTTTTTGCACTCTTTGGCAAAACAATCTTTTTACATGATTTTGTTTGCTTATATAGGCCTTGTTTCTTGCAACCCTACTGCAATAATTGTATTTTCTTAAAATTATTTGTATTGCCTCAGAGTGAGCACTTTTATTTAAAAAAGTTTTGGCTTCAAAAGCTAATTTAGAAGCACTAATGGTGAGATTTTTTTAAAAACTTGTTGAATGAATAATCCAACGCTCATCATGAGAATAAAAAAAATTTTGTTTGCTCACCTTGGATTTGTTCTGCAACCTTTGGCCTTGCTTATATCTATTTATAACACCTTGAACTGGAATGAGTTTTGTTGACTATTTTGCTGATTTAGCGGAGAAATTTGAAATGATGAACAATTAGCTCGTGAAATTTGAAATGATGAACGTTGTCCCTGCTGATGTCCCATGATTAAAAATTCAAACAAAAAAAAACTTACTCTTGGACTGACTGAGACTGGTTTCAATGCCACCTGTATCTTTCAGTGCGGGATTTATTTACCTTTCCATCATTCACTACGAGACTACACTACATACGAGTTTTACTTTGACTTTCAAACAGACAGTTTTGCAAATGCTTCATAACTTCTATGTTATTATTAAAAGTAGAAAACAATTTATTCAAAATAATAAATTACACACTTTAAAAAAATAAAATTTTAATTTTTAAACAATTTTCTAGATATATGCAAATTTTTTCATGGCGATCAAAATGTACGAGTTTCACTTTGATAACTGTATCTAATAACGACAGCAAGCTTAGTCATATTAGTTACATCAGTACTTTCATCAAGTAGAATGCTAATTACATCAATAGGTAACAAATCATTTTTGACCTGTTTGTGAATATTTTTGGCGATTTCTTCAATTTGATGCCGAACTCTTCTAGCTGACAACTGTATTTCTTTATTTCTCTCAACAATTTGATTTTACTTGCGAAGTCATCAAGAAGTGTTCAGAACAATTTATCAATGCATTTTTAAAAAAATCTGCTATCTGTAAACAGTTTTCCATTGATACCAATGCCTAGAATAGCAAAACAATTGGCAAATATAACATGATTGTGGTTAGCAACAAAACCCTTCAACAATTTATTTTGTTTTCCAAAATTGAATACATGTTTAGCAATGCACTCAAATTCTTCTTCATTTGGCATTTCACTCACATTTTTATGTTTTGAAGAAAAGTGCTGCTTAATTTCTTGTGGTAACTACATCTATGCATTAAATACATATCAATTTGTCACCATGTTCAATACACCCATATTTCTCTTTCAACACATCTTGAAATAAACTCTTTTTTTTTTTTTTATTATTACTCCGTAGTATTAATTCGTTTTAAATAATGATAATGTTAGTTTATTAGTTAAGCAAACTATAATTGCATCACCATTCTTGCACTACTAAAGAAGTGATACAACTAAGAACGAACTGAGTGGATGACAACACTGTTGCCCGTTGTCTATCAAGGAATCATGGATTGATGTTGTATCAATTTCTGCTTGAAATTATATTACAGTTCTTATTTTTTAAAGATAAAAATACATGTTTGTTACAACTACTTTGTATTCAAACAAAAACATTATCATTATTATTAATTTTCAGTTTATTTTTTTATGCATTCTTCAAGGTTCATTTCATATTTATATATATATATATTTTTTTTCATTACCATATATTTCATCATATAATTCACACTTTTAGTACAAAAAGTAAGATTGATATTTACGGATAAAATAAAAAATGATAGATTTAAAAATAAGGAAAAGATGAATGTACAAAAATTAGACTTCAACATGTACCTAAATGCTTTTTATTTAAAAGAAATGGCATACCTTATGAACTTAAAAACTTTCATCAGCACATAACATGAAAAGTTCACCCATATTCCTCTTCTATTATATCTTCAGGCACATCATCAAATTCTGTTTCATCTTCACCATCATTATTATTCTGATCCATAAGTAAATAATAATTTTTCATTCCACCTAAACAGTTAGATATACTATATTTTTTTAAATGACTTTTGAATTAAGTTGGGTTTAATTTTATACCATGTTTTTATTATACACTTGCACACTATTTCTAGACTGGCATTATGAATTTAGCCCCCCCTCCTCTATTAATGTTTTTTCCCATATGAATATAAACGTATTTCACTGTTATTTTAAATTTTCTTCAAATGGTTTATTGATACATATATCTAAAACAGAACTAATGGCATTAATCCACCTGGAATAACTGCCATATCTGTACTGCAATGTTTCAACAATTTCTTCATGTTAACCATTAGATGGCATCTGAACGTGTCTGAAATTAAGACTTTCTGGATTCATTAAGGCGTCAGGATGCTTTTGCCAAACACTGTTTATTCACAGTATCATACTGTTTTCATCCATCCATGCTGTCTTGTCAACATGAATGAAAACATCATATGGGAAATTATATTTCAGTATCATTATTCGTTTAAAAGTAACTATGGGTTTAAATTTTGTACAGTTCACAAAGCAGAAAAACACTTGTGGTGAGGTGAGTTTTTCCTGACTTGTTATTTTTATGTAAACCATTTTCTTCCTTTCACATCAATTTTTTTATTTCCTAGCATATCAAACATTACTGCAGTTTCATCCATATTTCCAATATGTGACAGTAAATAATTTTTTTTTGCCTTCGTAGGCTGATAACATACTCATGGAAAATTATCCATTTGTTATCCCAATCTTTTGGGAGCCTTTGCATAATTTTCGATATTCTCGTAGAGCTGAATTAATGGGTGCCATGAAATGATTACAGCAATTCAAACTTACTTTAAAGTTTTTACTTTCATCTGCATTCTTTTTTGCCTATTTTAAAGCAAATAAATATAGGCTGTTTCTTGTTATAATTAATCCATTCTAGAAATTTTCTAGGACACAGTTCACAACACTTCCTTCTAGTATAGGCAATTTCCTTTAAGCAAATCATATTTATACTTTTGACATATGACTTATTTCCTTTTTCTTCCACTCACACATGAAGTTTTCAACAATGTCAAACATCCTTGCAGCAGCATGATTCCTATTGTCTTTTGCAAATTGAAAGACTTTACATTTGAAACCAGCACTGTGTTTTGTTTGGTAAGAGCCATATTTACAACGAACAGAAACACTACATCAACTGTATTTCATTTAAAGCAAATGCGATTTACTAAACCTTCAGCCTTCGCTTCAAATTACTGCAGTCCAAAAAGGGCATCTGCTATAACTGTGTTTATATTATACTAAAAACTGATAGTTTGCATAGTTTGCTTGAAATTTTTACCCTTTTTCATAAAATGTTAACATTTGTTGATTTACAATGGATTCATAAAGATACTATATTATTCTTCCAAGTAAAAAGTACAGCCGCCAACCTTGAAATCTGAAAAAAAGGGGCATTTTCAAAATGTGTATGATTTTAGTCTAATACCAATTGAATTCACATCATAATTGATGATTCATGTTGCTGAACTATTATAATGTGATTCTGGTGTAAAATATGTTTATATTTTATTAGATATTCTAAATTTCCGATTTTAATTATTTTCATTAATTTTGTAATTTTCTTAAATTCTCATGCTGACAAAATCCGGAGAGGGGGGAAAGGCTTTTATTGTATCTCAACTTGCTCAGTGAGTTCTAATTATAACATAATTAAACCAATCAAATGAAACACTAAAATCTATCAAGTAAAGAGCTTTTTAGCAGGAATAGTAATTAATTTAATAATATGGAAAATTAGAAATGAGATTAAATTACAATTTTTAATTTTTCAGAATAATTAATTATTCTAAATTACTATTCTTGATAATAAATCCAAAGTCAATAATCAAAGTTAACTGATATTAATTAAATTCATATGAATTTTATGAAAATAATTAGCAATTCGGAAAAAAAATCTGAAATTATGACACATCCAGTATTTAGTGACACTGATATGAGGCCAGAAAAATGGATTGCAAAAAATATGCTTAAATGCAAAAAAGTTTAAATGCTCATTAAAATGAATTACCTAGACATTTATCAGATGAAGGCAACAATAACAAGAAAAAAAAAACTAAATAAATATTTTGTTAAAAAAGAAGAAAATTTTTGTGCCACATGTCAATAAACGAGGAAAAAGGCAATGTAAAATGGCATAGTTATGTCTTCATTGTTAAATAAAGTTATAACTCTACTAAAACAAATTTTGGAGTTTTAACTCCACTAAAAAAAGTTTCAAGAACTCATACATGTTGATATTTCGTTTTTGAATGCAAAATGATAAACAAAAAAATATTAAAGTATTAAAAAATTACATTACTGTTTGAAAAAATTAAAAACAGAAATATATAGAAAGGCTTGACAACCTACATTTTATAATAAAATTTCACCATAATCATTCAATTTTATTTTAGATGCAGAAGATAATATCTACAAGGATTTATGTTTGAAATTCTGCAAATGATTTATGCTATTAAAATTCTAGTTTAATGATAACACTCATGGTATAAAGCAGAGTTTCTTAAACTGGGGGTTGTGGAACCTGCAGCAGGATGGGGTTGCCAAAAATTTTAGCAGTTTTGATATTTCTTTAACGCACGTGACGCTGTCATTTCGTCTGTCACTTGTTTAAAATTTTCACATTTTTCTATGTCTTAAAATTCGAAATTAAAGTTAATGACCTAAATATGCAACGGTACAAATGAAACAAATGACAGTTTTACTCACGCGCGAGTCGGAGTTGCGCAATTCTTATAAGGTCCCACAAAATTTTTTTAAATATTATGGGATCCTGGATCAAAATCTCAGTGATAAAAAGGGGTCTCAACTGAAAAAAGTTTAAGAAACCCTAGTATAAAGTAACATTTGCAGCAAAATATTGCTAAGACCAGAAAAAATACTTGTTTACATTGCACTGAATTAAGAAAAATGCTTTCATAATATTGAAGATAAATAAAAGATGGCAACAAAATCTATATATCATACATATAATTTTATTGCAGAATAAAAGCAATTAACACATAAAAAATGTTACAACAAAACAAAAACGTAGAGAAGGAACATTCACCTAATATATCTCGTAGAGTTGGTTCATAAACTGGAAATTCATCTATTCCATTATGTACACAATTTGCTTCTGAAAGTTAAACAAAATGTATGAAAAATATGCATAACATACATTGTAAATATGTACAAACATAAATATTTTTGATGAAACCAATATGAGTTGCAGAATAAACATAAATCTTACTACGAAATTAAATTAAAAAAGACTTCTTTGTAGAATAACCATGCATTACCTAAACCACCCCAACTTATTAACATGTATGATAGTTATGAAAATTAGAGGCAAGTTCAATTAGAATTTTATTGCATTACTTTAAATAAGTAATTAAGGTATATTTCTGCATGTTATATCAAGCTCAGCGATAAACTTATGCTCAAGCTTAGCTCTGGTATTTCTCAGTTTTTAAGCACAATCTCAATGCTTATGTTTTTTTTTTGGGCGGGGGGAGAAAGAAAACCCGTAATTCCAAATGAAGGTTCAAATTAGATGAATTTGTATAACTCAATCACAATAAAACAAACAAACAAAAAAAAAAAAAAAAAAAAAAAAAGGGGGGGGGTCTTGTTCATATAATATTTATATAAGCTTCTAGTAAAATCAGCACAGGTGCTATCAACTGGAATCTTTTGGAAAAGCAAATGCATAAGAACAGAAAACATTATGAATTTCTGGCCAGTATATCTCTCAGGTAACTCAGTTAAGTCTAGAGACAAGCAAAAATTTATAATAATAAGAGAATTTTAAATTAAATTTATAATAATAAGAAAATTCTCCAAGAATATTCGTGCCATTTTACATAAGATACAAGACAGTGAGAAGATGGCTTCAACATACTCAGCAGAAAAAGAGGAAAAATGATGTTGTAAATTGGAAAGACAAGAAAGATATACGTTTGATGAGTACAGTCCATAATAACTTGATAATTGACGTTTGAAAACTGAAGAGAACTGTAAAAAAAACAATAATGTAAAAGATTACAATAACAAAATGGGAGGAGTGGACCACCTGGATCAGATCTTATCAAATTATCCTGCTGTTAGAAATAAGCAGAGATATTATTATTTTTCCATTATGCTTTATTTCCTTATAATATTCATTGGCATTCATCCACTACAAAAGTCATGTATGGAAAGTTATGATGTACAGAGAAAACATTACACGCTATGAAAAACAAACAGCAGCTGGGGGGAAATTTTCACAGACAGGAGAGGACGTCGAAAGGGTTAAATTATACACATTTTTTGCTGCACTTCATTAGAGATATATTTCTCATTTGTTCTAACTTGCAGGAAGGCAAAGCTATAAAAACTCATAACAATATAAAAACACAAAAAAATCTTCATTAAAAATTGCAAAATACATGAAACCTATAACACCAAATACAGTTTAAAAAAGAATTCTGAAACACTGACATTTATGTACCAACTGACTTAATTCACCATGGGGTATTAAGAATTTAAGTGTAAACAAATGGCGGCCTGATTAAGTCTAGCACCACTTTTAAATTTTTGATAATTCTACATCTATTGCATGCAGATTAACTAAAGGTATAAACACTTTAACCAGAACATAAGAGCAAGAATAATTCAATTTCTTTTAAAACAAAAAATGCAAAATTTACCAAAATATGAGAATTTCAGAAAAGGGAGGGGCTCACTGAGCCGGATAATGAAGTGGGGTTAGCACTACTACATACAAAATTTCAATGCTTTATGTCTAATCATTCTTGCATTTACACAAGATATAAACATTTGTACATACGTACAGACATCACACACTTAAAAAAAAAAAAAAAAAAAAAAAAAAAAAAAAAAAAAAAAAACTTTGAATTCTTACAATTTGTTTTGGAAAAAATAGTCTTATATTCTGTCCATACGTACAGATAGCATGCAAAAAAAAAAAAAAAAAAAAAAAAAAAAAAAAAAAAGGATATTTTCATTGAAATATAAAACCTGAAATTTTTTGCAATTATAATACTTACTTTATTTTGTACAAGGAAATAAGATAATTACATACAGAATAATAAGAACATTTATTTAATGAAGAAACAAGACGAAATACAGAACAAAACAGCACATATAAAACAATGTTACACACAGAAGAGAAACACATAACAACGTAAATTCAAACTTTATTTCATCAGAAAAAATTACATACATTAAATTTTAATGGCTTAAGTGCTAATGTTTGGCATTTGTAAAATAAATAAATAAACACATACATTAAATTTACCAAAGATGAAAAACAATTTTTGTATTAATAATCCGAACTCAGAAATAAATTTAAAAAAAAAAAATCAAGTCTGTATTCAGGCAGGAAGAAAAAAGCCTGTTTTGTTTCACAGAAATCAATCACAGACTAATTTTCTCAGACTTCAAAAGATTAGTTGTTACATGCCATTTCTCTAGAATCACTGCAATTTCACCATGCCATCTTGGCATTCCTTTTACTAAACTTTTTAAAAAATTAATGTAATACCCATATCATTTCTGCAAGATCAAAATTATTTGTGGCTTTTGACTAGCCAGCTAAATCTTCTTTCTCTTTCAGATTTCCTTTGTCTTCTTTAATTTTTTTTCAAATCTTATAATAATGTTGTAATTTTCTATTTTTTCCCCCTTCTTTCTTTTTCTTTTTTTTTTCCTGAAGAAATTTCAATATGTATTGCCCATTCTAATAAAAAAATCTGAGGAATAAAAGATAAAATTCCAAGTGTACTCATTTTTCTAATGTTACCACCATATTTTCCTCAAAAAAGCTACGACATATTGCTTCTCCAAGGCTGGATTTCTCGGACAAGAGCGCAATTTTTTGTTGTAATTCATATTTGTGCCGAGCTTCAGAAACATGCTGCATTTATTAAAGGACTATTTAGTGAACACGTTCTCTAAAATTTCTTGATTTTACATTGCTTCATTTTCAAAATTAGACAGAAAAAAACATGCCGTTCTTTATTTCTGGAGAGCAGTGTATTTCCATCTACATCTTAATAGCTCTACGCAAAATATTCTATGTTGAACCACATGCCTCAGCAAAGGCTGGTGACCATCATATACATTTTTTTTTTTTTAGGCTGCAGATCTTGGTTTGTTATTTTATTGTTGTTGCAGATGTATTTAAAGGCACTGCAATTAATTTCTGCGTTGAGAGATTTTCTCTTATTGCCAACAATTTTTAGAAAATATAGAACATAAAGTTTAAACATCAGAACGTACCTTTTTGGGGTACTCATTTGGAGTCTTCTATGAAGAAGTAATGATTGATGGCCTTTCTCTTTCCAATTAATAATGCTGGTTATTTTGCATTTAGAAATTTTAATACCATGCCTTTCACAACATTTTTGAATTACAGATTAAGAATATTTCTCTTTGTAAAGCACAAAAACATAACCTTCAATCTACAGCTTGTTTACATGCGACATTTTGAAAAAAGAATAAATTGAAAAGTAGCAGACGATATTTCTGATTTCAAATAATACGCTGTTTTCAGAAATTTTTATTCTAAAACACTTTCTTTTTTAAAATTCTTTATCGAAATCATCCTAAAAACTTGTAAACACTTTTTACAGCTTATGTAAATGGATTCTGCATGTTGAGAATTTTAATACAGAAAAAGCTTGTACTTAAATTGGCAAAAAAGTTAATAATAATTTCAAATTAAAAAATATCTAAATCTCACAATTAAAAAAATCTTTCTTCTTACCTGTAGCATCCAATTCGTATAACAACATCAAAGGCAGAAGAAAAGAACTTCATGTAAAAATTTCAACTATCAGTGTTTGTGTTGTGTAATGATTCAAGCATTTATCATTTTACAATGATATTTTGAAACTGCTAAGTTTTGCCACAATTTTGTTTTTTACCATTAAGCTCCACACAGTAATCTTCTAGAATTAAAAGTCCCCTTTGCTTTCTTTTTCACCACAATATTTAATAAGATGGTATTTTCCCCTCATACTGAGTCATTTAAAACACTTTTATTTGTGATGTTTTCAAGTATTTGCTTTACAGATAACTTTAAATTGATATGAATACAGATACTATGCAAAATGTACACACGAAACTTTCCTAGGTTAAAAAAAAGTCATAGAAAATGTCCATGGGACAGCTCTATTCGAAGAAAAAAATTACCACCTAATCACCTTTGAAGTAACATGCAACCAGAACACACACTTGCTTTAGCATCCCTGAAAGCAAAGTCTAATTTATAACTGAGGCCAAGGGGACAAAACACCTTAAGGAGGTCTCCTTTCTTCTAATTTTTTCATTGTAATGAATATTACTACAACGAATTTATGACAAAGTATTTCACAAAATAAGCAACCCTAGAAATTCACTATTTTCTCATTAAAACTTAGTGAAACAATAAGCACATTTTATCTTTCTGTATATTTGTTTATAGCTTCAGTTTATTATGCCTCATACAAAATATAACACACTTACACATTTTAAACTATAGTGTTGCCAATTTCTGGGATAAATCTTTTATGAGAAAAAGAGAAAACCTAGAATTTTTAATAATTTTACTAAAACTTTTATTAAATTACACAAAGACCAAAATAATGCAATTAAAGCTATTTTTCAACTTAATACGCACATGACTATTCCATTAAAAGACCTCTAAATTCACATGACATCATGAATTTCATACAATAGTAGAGACTGCTTATGCATGTTACTGCTTTTTTACAAACATAAGCTTCACTAAATACTGAGTACGATGAAGGTCCGTTTTTTGATTCAGAAGAATGACGTAAAAAAGTAAAAAGCAAAATTTAAAATTTTAATTTCATATTTTAATTAGAATTAAAGAAAGTTATTTTAAAAAACTACATATTTTAAGTATTACAAAAAATACCGAGGCTCAACGTCCATGTTAAGTTTACCCATGTGTAAATCCAGCCCTGTCTGAAAGAAATTCCTTTTTTTATATGTATAATAAACTGGCTGTCTCATTGTTTTAAAAAGTTTGAATTTTTTTAAAACAGTGACCTTGAAGAACCATGCAAATAAGGGGGACAGCACAGTCAGAGAAAAATCTGGCTAATAATATGGTTGTGTCAAGACAATAATCAGTTTCTAATTTGGAGGGGGGAATATCTAGAATGCAGCAATACATTGAACGGTTCTACTTCAAATATGCACAAAGATAACACACACAGGAGGGGGAAAAAAAAAGAGCTGGCATGGAAGAACTGCATACATGTAATTTGTAACTGTGGATTTTGCCACTGGAACTCAAAAGCTTAGGATTTCTAGTACCTTGCCTCCTAAATAACATATGGCTCAGTGGTATGCTTTTCACTGAACTTTCTGAACAATAATGTATGACAATAACAAAATATTAATTAGAGATAAAAAAAAACATACATTTAACTTACCTTCATTGATATTAGAGAAATAGGATGAATGATTTTGAAATGGAGCTGCTAAAGGATTCAATGTACTAGTTTCTTTACGTGAATTTCCTTTCCATGGCATTAAACAACTAGGTACAGACAAATTTGAGTTTTGTGCTGTGGGAAAAGAACCTTGGGCAACTGTGTTTTTGGACGGCTGCTGAAATGCATGCAATATATTATGGAAGTCGCTGGAATTGCTAAAGCCATTCACTGCTAAAGTTTCTTGAAATGTTTGCGGTTGTTCCACAGAAATGACTCGCTTTTCACTTGAATCACATAATTCCACATGATGATCACTTTGGGCAGGATCTGAGAAATCCAAACTTGATTGGAAATTACTCTGAATGTAATTAAACCCTACTGTTTCTTCTTTGATGGATACAGACGGTGGTCTAAAAAAACCAAACATGATTTATTTTCACATTATATTGAAATAACAAATTCAAAAACTAAAGAACTGGACTCAAATATGCTTTAATAAAAATATGCAGTCTTTGAAATCTTAAGATGCTATAGCAATAATTGTAGACACATTTTTAAATTTTCATGTTTTAAAACATTTAAAAAAGAAAGAATAGGTACTTTATTTTGCTTGCACAATTTGAATTTTTTTTAGTTGTAGAAGAACATGCACTGAATAATTTTCTACAGAAAGATATATGAGCCAATGTTACATACTAGGCAACATTTAATTAAACGTGTTATTATTGTAATAGTATTTTTGTTTTTGAAGCAATTATTGTTAATAACAAGTTTTTAAAAGAGTGCCATCCTTTTTCTTCTTTGTTTATATATCACAGTCGAAATGGGCTGATGATGAAAGTATGCTTTTTTGCTCAAGTATCAAGTTGGCACATATACTGTTATTAAAGAAAACTTTTTGGAACATATTCTTCCATAATGGAGGGGGAAATCTCAAAATAATTTTTTACAGTACAAAAATACATAAATGAACAAAAGGAGAAAAGAAGATCGATCGTCAAATTTTTCAGAGAAAAATGACTCCACAATTAATTTTAGTTAAAAAATTAGTCACACAATTTCCAATGCACTTATTGTATAACTGCAGAATAAATTAAATATGACTTTCCAAATATAAAATATGATACATTAGGATTATTGTCACATGAAGAATTTCTATGCAAGATTGTATGTGGATTTGTATTGTATGATTGTATGATTGTACATGCAGTGTGTGCATAAAAGTCCTTATGCAACTTTTATTTTACAATTGTTAGTTACATACATAAGCATCCAAAAATATTTTCAGTAACATAAATATTTATGTTTTGTCTTTTTTAAATTATGAAATTGTAAAATTGATTGCAAAAACTACAAAATCTAACTTTTTATGTAGTTTCCCTACAGTTATATTTAGTAAAGGTTTATGTCCATTCTAAAAAATGAAACATGAAAAGACTGACTTACATACAACAAAAACTGGCCAAGATATTAAAAGTCTGAGATAGTATTACCTGAAAACCCAGGTCTTACAGAAAACTTGGAACAGAATATTTAAATTTGTATGTAATACAAATAAATAAAATAGTTTAGAAAAAGATTTCTAACAGTAATAGATTAAATTATGAGCACTGGTATGCAGAATATTGTGAACAGTTCTGATCAATAAATATTTTTCAAAAAGGAAATCTTATTCACAGAATCTGCAGAATTCATAACCTAAGAAATGGCACACTGTAAACTCGTAACACTATTTGCATAAATAAATTAAAAAAAAAAAAAAAAAAATCTAGTTTAATGATTTTTAATGACTGTTAGATTACAATCTTAAAATAATAAAACTGCATGTGAATGTTACTAATGAATTTTTAGTACTTGAAAATTTAAGAATTACTTTATGAAAATGCTTTCGATATATCCAATGCAACCTAATTAAAAATTTCAGAATATCGCATATTAATCAATTAGTAAATTACAGAGGTAAAAGTTTTGAATGACATTAAATAAGAAGACAGATTGACCTCAAATTCTTCTAATTCATTTTTTAAACAACCACCTGAAGAGAGTGACAGATTGCTTTCTGGCACTAAAAAATGTAAAAAATTCCTGAACTTTCAAATTAAATATTTCAAATCAATATTTATCATATGAGGGGGCTGTAACAATTTTAAATATTAATAAAATCTTGTAGCTTAAAATAAATAATTTATTTAAATGAACAATATGTGAATGGCAATGTTTGAAACCAGGTTCAAGTGCCACGTGCGGCTCTCTAACAAAGAATGTATTTTATTTTAAAATGTTAGAATTAATTTTTCCTTCTTGTTTTGTATGTCGCTATTTTGAGTGCTAAATAAAGTTTTTTCTGTGTTCCATCATTGGAGTTGCTTCATATAGCCAAAGAAGTATCACAGTCATAATTATTTTGGAGGCACCGACAAGATCGAATAATCGTGCATATTTTTATTTTATTAGTTCATCACTGAATATAATATTAGTGATACCAGATTATTACTTCCTGTTAATATTGAATTGCTTTACTTTATTAGTTCATCACTGAATGCAATATTAGCGATACCAGATTACTACTTCCTGTTAATATTGAATTGTCTTATTTTATTACCATATTGGATATCATTTTAATATTCCTTTTAGTTGTCCAGACAGTAGATATATATATTGCTCTATGTTGATATTCTTATTTTAGCCACAATTAATGTGGTAGAGAGAACAAACTTCATATAATTTAAATATTTCATTTTTGAGGTATACGTATTTAACAGATTGCATTTAATTCGGTGATTCCTGACTGCATTAATTAATTAAAGTAATTGAATTGAGCTATTTTGAGGAAGTAAAGAACATAGTGTTCGCAAATTTTAAACATAGAAACAATTTCTTACTTAGGAAGAGCTCGTAAGGAAGATTTGCAAAATCCCGTGGCTGAACTGGGTGTTCATGTGACTGCAGATTTGAAAATACAGTCAAAAGTCGTTAATCCGGACTCGTCGGGACTTTGGCGATTCCGGATTATAGATCATCAGTTTAAATCTGGTAAAATTTAAACTGATGCATGCAGAAATTACAAAATTAAAAATATGAAACCGTAATTTATGAAATAAAGAACAATTATGATCTAAAGGGTATCAAAATTTACAAAAAGAAAAAGCTTAATATTTATTTGTTTACTTTATTAAACATTTCTTTCAATGTAAGTTGTTTAAGTTGCTTCATTTCATGTGACAATACTTTCTGTTTAGTTCTATTAAACAGACATAATTTCTTGTTTTACAAAGTTCTGCTGTTCAAATCCTATAATTGCTGTGTCGAGAATACCGACTAATTTGTCAATCGAAATGTTTTCATTTTCAATAACCTCTCTGTCACTTTCTTCACTATCGAAAGCGAATTATAATGATGAGGAACTTAATTTAAATCATATCAAAGACGGAGTACATCGAGATGAAATACTACATTTAGTAAAAAATTATAAGCCAAATAAAATAAAAACATCTGCCCTGAAGATAAGGATAGTGCTGACAGATCAACTTCCAATTCATTGCGCGCCACGTCGTTTCTCCCCCCTGCCGCAGAACAGTGTGAAATTGATAAACAGATTTCGGATTAAACAGAAACGTATTATGCGTTTATTGCATAGCATAATGTTTACGCATGCCGTTTAATGTAAAGCTGTCTTTGAGGTCCGGATTATGGGTGTCCGAATTAACGACTTTTGACTGTATTCGATTTAAAATGGAAAATTGTTGAAAGTAGAGATTATGATGAAGTATTCGGCAAAGTAGCCTTAGACACAATAATAGAAGAATGGAAAGAGAGGGAGGAAAGAGAGAAGAAAACGTAGGAGACAGGAAAAGAAGCAGAAAGAGCGGAGAAGGAACGAACAGTATGAATTAGAGAGATTAAGACTTGAAGCAGAGACAAAGTCTCAAAATACCGGACAGATCCGGCCGAAAACGGAGCTGCGTCACCTTATGCAGAAATTCGATGACAAGAAAGGAGATATCAGTCTATATTTGCTATTGTTTGAAAGGCAAGCAGAATGGGCTAAAATTGATAAAGAAGAATTTGTATCTCATTTACTAGGACTACTTCCTTACGAAGTAACCCAGTTAATAGCTAGAGAACCCTCCGATAAAGCTAAAGACTATGAACACGTGAAGAATTTATTGTTAAGACGGTTTTAAAACTAAGCCCGGAAAAGTTTAGGCAGAAATTTATGAAACATCAAAAGAGTACCGAATCCACATGGGTGGATTTCAATTATGAAATAGAAAATTATTGCAAAGAATGGGTGACTGGTCTAGGAGTTAAGACTTTTGATCAGTTGCTAGATTTGATGGTGATTGACCAACTTAAGCGTCGAGTTCCTCCTGAAATTCGAGATCATTTTCTTGATGAGTGGGTAGAGATGATTTCATCTAAAAAATTAGCTGAAAAACTTGATGCCTATGAAAACGTTTGCGGAAACTTTCAAAAAAGGCCTGTAGTGGATCGGCAGAAAGAAAGATACAATGCACTAACTCAAGGTAAATTGAGTTCAGATAATAAAAAATAAAACTGAAAAAAAATGTGTCATCAGGATTTAATTCGCAAAGCTGGTTTCATAGACCTAGAAGTTAACGTCCAGATGATAAATATGAAAAACGAAAGATGCCACAATGCTATCAGTGTGGGTCCTATCAACATTTAAGACCCAAATGTCCAAAACTTAAGAATAGTACTGAATCTCCTGCTAATCTTAACAGAATTAGTGCAAAACCAGAGGATAAATTTCTATTACCTTATACTAGTATGGGTTACGTAAATGGTCATAAAATTCCTATATTAAGGGATTCAGGTGCTAGTATTGATATAGTTTGTCACAAATACATCACGCCAGAAATGCTGACAGGTGAAAATGTGTGGACGCGACATTTGAATCCAAGCTGTTTACCATTGGCTGAGATCGAACTAAATTGCGATCTTGGGCGAGTAATAACTAAGGCTGCCATTATTAGAAATGAAACATTATTAGATATGAAATGAAAGGAAGGTATTTATTAGGCAATCGAACTTTTGCACTGGTGAATAAACAAGGAAAGGAGCCTGATAGTTGTCCTCACCAGGTTAATGCTGTCTCTACTAGAGCTCAAAGGAAAAGAGAAATAGCTGAAGAGAAGACCTTGGAACCGATGAAGGGAAGAAAATAAAGCATCCAGATGTTTTTGAAGAAGATAATTTACCGGAACTAAATACGGAAGATGAAGCTCTCATGAAACTGGTATACATTGACTCGGAAGAAGTTGCACAACTTCAGCTTACTGATAAGGAACTGTCTAAAATCATCAAAGAAGTTCAAGACGGTACATGCAAAAATGAGAACTATAGTCTGACAAGAAAAGAGCTTTTAGTTAAAAAAATGATGTAATTACCTCTCGTGGAGGCTCTACCATTTATTGATTTTGTATAAAGTTAGTTTTTCTTTTCTATTACAGGTGTCCAAATACTTATTGGTAGTCAGTGTAGTACTATGCCAATTAGACGATGAACAACATGAACATCCTATCTTGTACATAAGCAAAAAATTTACTAAATTTTAAAAGAATTATTTTACTACTGATAGGAGTGCACTGCTATCATCTACGCTATCAAGAAACTGCATTTTTATCTGGATGGTCAGTAAGAATTCTTGATTCAAACTGATCATAATCCTTTGGTCTGGCTACAATTCAATGCCAAATGTAACTCTAGATTGATGTGCTGGGCACCCTCATTACAACCTTGTAATTTTAAGGTCATTCATCACAAAGGATCTTTGCACAAGAACATAGATGTTCTGAGTAGAATTAAGCAATATAATAACTCTTAGTGTATGTAATCCCATTTAGAATTAATTTTATTATTTAATGTATGCTCAACTGATGTATTTGAACGTTCTCCATTTTTTTTTTCCCCTATTTAAATGTGGTGTAAAAGTATTTGTTTAAAACTTAAAAATTTTGGCCTGAAATTTAGAAACTTATGTGAGAAGTTACCTTTACTCTTTAAGCAATTGAGCAAGCCGAGCTTATAAACTTTCGAATTTTACAGAACTTTTCCCTTCAGTAAAAGTCCCTCCGTTGGGGGAGAGGTTGTAATAGTTTTAAATATTATTAAAATCTTGTAGTTTAAAATAAATAATTTATTTAGATGAACATTAGGTATATGTGAATGGCAATGTTTGAAACCAGGTTTGAGTGCCACGTGCGACTCTCGCACAAAGAATGCATTTTATTTTAAAATGTTAGAATTCGTTTTTCTTTCTTGTTTTGTATATCGCCATTTTGAGTGCTAAATAAAGTTTTTTCTGTGTTTCATCATTGGAGTTGCTTCATATTGCCAAAGAAGTATCACAGGGCTCAAACATTTTTTGTCTTATTTTTTTAGAAGAGCATGAAGTGTGCTAAATATAACTAAGTTGGATTTCCAAAATTCAGAAACAGAAATATTTTTTTTAATTCAAAAGTACTGTAACATTATTATCTGCCTTACTTACAGCATTTTTTTAGTAGGAAATAATATTTCTATGAAAATATAGGCCCAAAATAAAGACTTTTATGTATACACTGCACAATTTTTCTACAAGCATGCACAACTCCAAATTATGAAAAATTCAGTACCTAGAATTTTGGACACCCCTTCAGAAATTGCCAAATCTATTTCTTTAAAAATAAAAGTTCCAAATAAGGAACACAAGAATCAATCTACATAACAGTTTCAAAAAAGTAAGTGTTCTAAAATAGCAAAACAAATTAATTCAACTATACCTAAAACTTGCTTTTCCTTCAGTAAAATTTAAAATTTTGTCACAGTTCTAAGCACTGAGCGGCTAAAAAAAATCTGTATAGCTAATAAAAATGAATTTAAAACAGAATATGCAATATATTACAAACTTTGATGTCACTGCACACTGAAGATTTACTCAACAACAACAACAACAACAACAACAACAACAACAACAAAAAAAAAAAAAAAAAAAAAAAAAAAAAAAAAAAAAAAAAAAAGATTTTCCAAATATTTATCTATGTTATAAAAAAATTTCTTAAGTCCTTAAACACACATACATTGCTCCAACTTCCATTGAAGGTAAAAGCAATTCTTATGTATTTGATATTTTGGTACACCAGATTTTTAAGATGTTTAAAATGGTTTGCTGCTGCTGCCTTTTGAACCCTTTAGCAGTTGCAAAATTAAGCAATTCTTTCTTCCAAAATACGTATGATATCTGTCAGTCAAACTAACTTGCAGGACAAAGAACATAAGTCATAGAGAGATGCATTTTCAAGGCGTTTAACCTTGTTAGCTTCTTCCTTTTCTTTCTTTCAGTCTTAAAACAGCGTAACATTAATAATTACATGACACAATAGTGCATTTTCACAAAGTGCCTAAATTAGTTAGGCTCTTCTCCTTTTTTTGACTTAGCTAAAACAGCATATGACTCTGTCATTTGGAAACATCTGCCATTAAGTTTTCCACAGACTGACTGGGATGCCACTTCTTGGCTATGACTGAGATCTTTTCCTACTTCATCAGAAGATTATCAATAGCTGCAGGACAGGACATTTTGTGTTCTATATCTCTTCTTCCTCACCTGAAGAAATTTCTCTTTGGAATTCTTTATTTTAATATTCAAGTAAAACGTGGTCATTCGGTGTCAATATATCAAAAAGTCAAAATTGTAAAAAACAACCTTATATTTAGCGTAGGTATAATGAAACACTCAATCGATTTCGAGGGCAGCTAAAGGTCCCTCCTCATCAGGAGAAAGAAATACATAGAAAGAAGAAAATAGGAATCACAGAAACACGTGGTGCTTATCAGCACTGCACGTGGATATAACTAGATTTTTAATCAGAGTTGCACTGGCTGCCTACTTTTACTGAGCCAGGCTGTCTGATCAAGCATAAAGAAATATTAGCGAAGTTAAAATAGGGAGCGAGGGGCAAATGCACATTACGCTCAAAATCTGAACTTCAAATAAATAAGTGCTGATAAGCACCACGTGTTTCTGTGATTCCTATTTTCTTCTTTCTATGTATTTCTTTCTCCTGATGAGGAGGGACCTTTAGCTGCCCTCGAAATCGATTGAGTGTTTCATTATACCTACGCTAAATATAAGGTTGTTTTTTATGATTTTGACTGTCACATTAACGTGTTTCTCTTCTAGTCTAGTCTATATCAAAAAGTAGCAGATAAGGAAGATTGATTGACATAGCAGATAAGGAAGATTTTTATACTCTCGCCATTAAAAAAATATCAAATTCTTGCTTGATATTATTTCATGTGAATAACAGCACTTCGTCAGAAAAAATTCTTGAGAGCTGTACAGGCAACTTTCCTTCCTCCTCATTTGAAGAAAATTCTCTGCAGTATTCCTCAAAGTGAAAGCTGGTCTTGTGGCAATATAATATAACCTCCTCAATTCATATTACTATATATATATATATATATATATAAAACACCTTAATAACAATAGCAGGCAAGAAAACTTTGTTCTCTTTCTTTTCTTCATCAGAAGAAATATTACTCTGGTCACTTCTGTGTTTCCATTCAGACAGGAAGCTGCTAACTATCTATGTTCATATACAAATGTTAAAATTTAGTTTCATGTTTTGTTTCAATGGTATATGGTATTTCCGTGTGGTTCGTAATGTAAGATCAAATTCATTATTTTTTAGTCCATACACAGATTCAATATGTGGGAGATACGTTATGCAAAGCATTATTACATCAATGTTAAGTTGCCTTATTTGTTTGGCTATTGGTGAGCTCATAAGTTCATCCTTTATTCGCTTAACACAATAACAAACCAAAGAAAGATCAACTTATAGTAGTCTTCATGGAGGATTTTCCGAGGCTAACTGGAATGCTTTCACATTTAATTGGAGAAAAATCAAAAAAATAATACCCACTGAGGTAACCCCTTCACAGTAGACTAAATCAATGCTTAACAACCACTCAGTCTGGCACAAATTTTTACACATTAATGTCTCCCACAAAAAAAAAAAAAAAAAAAAAAAAAAAAAAAAAAAAAAAAACAACTTATGTTCACAATCTAGCACAAAATTATCTAACATCTTACCTTTGCAGCAGCACAGCTTTAAAGCATTACTTTTCTAGTATTCAATCTAAATCAGTAGTTTATTTATTTATTTATTTTACATTATCAGCAATCCAGCACAGAACAAAACTTTAAGACATAATCTGGAAGATTTGCAGCACTAATCAGAAAAATATTATTTGACATACCTGTCACTCTCTGTACTTGATGTTAATGGTGAATCTAGTGAACTTTCAGAATTTACCCTTGAAAGTTCTTCAGACTGACTTTGTTCATTATTTACAGATGACAATTGTATTGTTTTTTGGCTGATGTTTGATTCTTCAAGTTGGCTATCTTGACTTTTTTCTCTAGAAATAAATTCCATTTTAAGAAACAAATAAAAATTGAAACAAACACAAGTCTGGCAGAAAGTTCTGAAACAAAAGTTTCTCTAAAAAAAAGGAAAAATAATTTTATGACAATAATTTCAAAATTATGAGTAAAATGATTCTGTAAAAATACAGTCTTTTTATGAGTTGTAAAAAATGCAGCATTGTATAAATATATAAATTATGAAAAAGTATTTAGGTGACGGTTACTCACCAATATGCTACCAACATAAATTTGTTTTTTTCTGGGGGGGGGGTAAACATTGTGACAACTCATTTTGAATATTTTAAAAAAGATACAAGAACTTTGTTTTTATTACATCATCATCAAGTGACCAATTAATACAGCGTAATTCCTTTCCCATGGAAAGTTTTTATGACAACATTTACTCACTGCATTGCACGATATGCATTTACTACATTTGTCGCAAATGATGCAGAAGCAATCTATGATTCCCAGGAAAATGATACAAGTCCTCACATCATGAGCATTTCAATTCTCATACAAAGAAACTGTAAACGATGGAAGATGTATGATGAAAATTTAGCATTAACACAACTACTGATAAAGTATTAAAATAAAAATTGGGTTGAGGGAAGTAACTTGTCTTCTTATCTGGCAGAGTTCACATAGAGGGTGGGAATAACAATCTGTTTGATATGATTTTAAATGGAATTTCTGAACAATACCTGCCAGAACCTTGTTTCTCCATTTTGCAGATTTCAAAAATATATTTCACCATCAAAATGAATCAATGGATTATGGTAGAGTATTAAATACCCAAGACTTACAGAGATAAAAAAAAAAAAAAAAAAATTCAGAAGTCACTCTCTCTTGTCCTTGTTTTATTATTATTATTGCTGTTGTTATCTTTAGGCAAAAACTAGACAGATTCAATGCTTAACCACCCAGTTTGGCACAAATTTTTAAACATTTAAGCCCTCGTATAAAAAACTAAGTTCCTAATCTAGCACAAAATTCCCTAACATCTTACCTTTGAAGCAGTGCAGCATAAAGCCTTACATTTCTAGTATTCAATCTAAATCAGTAGTTTGTTTATTTATTTATTTATTTAACATTCTCAGCAATCCAGCACAGAACAAAATTTTAAAACACAATCTGGAAGATTTGCAGTACTAATCAGAGAAATATTATATGACATATCTGTCACTCTCCGAACTTAATGTTAATGGAGAATTTAGTGAGAATTTGGCAGGCTAACATATATGGCTAACAACAAAAATTCAGTCTCTGTGTTAAGAACTGCTTGAAGGCAGTATGACCATAGAAAAATATTAACTGTTCCACTAAGATGCATCCTGAAAATTGAATGAATCTCACACTGGAAAAACTCTTTTCATAACCTTGCCTGATTAAAAATATAGTCTACATGAGAAATATTAATGAATTCTATAGAAGAAACATGATGAACCATGTACGAGGATGCCAGATCTTCTGGTCACTAAGCTGCATACTCAGAAAGGAGAAATCTTCATCAAAGATGCCAAAGTGAATGTGGAAACAGCAGACATTTTAACTTCTAGAACCAACTCAGCTTTACATGGCTGCGATCCAAAATCTTATAACATACTGGTAGAAGGTTATTAATAATTAGATTTTATACGAAATAAATGTCTATACTGTGCTCTTCAGTGGTTACAGCTTTTCCAGAAACCCAAAATATTTTTTCCAGCAGTTAATAATTTTTCAACATGCATACTATATATGCAGGAAAGTTTTATTTTACAAGGATATTTCAATACTTGCACACCAAATAATACATAGCCAAAAATAACTATCCTTGACGTTGATCCCTGCGAGTCTGGCAAACAAAGAAGCTGTTTTGCATTCTTCTAAAAGAATGCAAGTTTTCATTACTTTTCTTGTTAATGATCCTTTTTTCTCCTTTCTTAGGTTACAAGAGACTGCAGATGGCTTTCAAATCACAGAAAAAAGATGTCTTCGATGCATCATTTTTTGGTAACAGTAAAGTTTTCATGACAAAGTTTGTTCATAACCTGTTAATTTTTATTTCATTTTGCATTTACAAGTTTTGTGAAGAAATGAAGCAGAAGCCATTTACTATTCCCAGGCAATTGATATTTTCTCAAAAACATTGTTGCAATGTAGCTGCACATGAATTATAACAGATATATAATGTCAACAGCAGCCAATAAAGTGTTAGAGCACATGCTGGGAACTGACTTGAGGAAAAGTCATTTGCCTATTTAGTACAGTACAAAGTCTGTAATCTGGACGTCCATAATCCATAATGATCTATAATCCGGACTTCAAAGCTGCAAACTTTATGCGCATGCGTAAACGCATGATATAAGCTAGGCTAAAATTACCTAAGGCATTTCAGTTAATGCTGCAGATTGCGCTCTCCTTAATCTTTTAATTGGATTCGGCTTATTATTTTTTGCAGACTGTTAGAACATTTTATAAAAATTAAGCTTGAACTTTCGATTATGTCAAAAAGAGTTTTCAATTCTGGAGCTGCCAAAGGATCTACAAAGTGAAAGCATGCTTCGATGTCCATTAAACAAAAAGTGGAATTGCTGCAAAAAAATGTATAAAGGCCTATCTGTCTCAAAATTATGCGAGAAGTACGGCATTGGAAAGTCCACTATATATGACGCACGAAAAAGGAACTTTTTAAATTTTTTGTGGAAGCATCTTAAAACAACTTACATTGAAAGAAATGTTTAATAAAGTAAACAAAATAAATATTAAGCTTTTCTTTTTGTAAATTTTGATACTCTTTAGATCATAATTGTTCTCTATTTCATAAATTATGATTTCATACTTTTAACTGTATAATTTCTGCATGCCATCTTACCAAATTTAAATTGATGATCTATAATCTGGAGAAACCCCTAATCCCGAATTGCCGAAGTCCCGACGAGTCCAGATTATGAACTTTTTACTGCACTATGAAGTGGCACAGACAAAGTATGGAGATGCATGATGGGTGGTTGAATTCATGGTATAACCTAAAAGGTTACAATGTGCCAAACACGTGGTCATCTAATTTTAAAATTGTCATAATAAATTTAAATTTGAAACCAGGTAAAATCTCAATATATATATAACATATAAAAACAATCTATTTAAAACCAATCAAATTAAGTTTAAAAAACCAGTTTCCGTCAAATACCAAAATAGATTACAATTGACTTCTCTTTCGATTAAATGACCAAGAGGTAAGTCAAAGCTATTAAAATATTTTAAACAAAGACTCTTAAAATATACACATTCTACTAAAATGTGATGCACTGATAGAGCGGCATTTTACTTTGAGCAAATAGACTCGCTCACAGCTTTTAGAAGACGATTAAATTCAGCACAAGAGTAACCAATTCTAAGACAAGTTAAAAGAACCTCCCCAATTTCTATAAGATTTCTAAAATTCTACTTAGGGCTTTACGCTTCCCAATCTATTATTGAAAGTCCCAAAAGTTGCTGCAATTTAATTAGGATCTTCTGCTTGATGACAACAATCTCTCAAAGGGACAAGCCTAATAGATAATTCAACAGCAGACTTTGCTGTGACTTCTGCCAGCTCATTTCCTTTTATGCCCACAAGTCCAGAAACACAGAAATTAAAGAATACAATAACCATTCCTTAAATTAAAATGTGGCCTTAGAGCTTCAATAAGTACTAGATTCTGTATATCAGAAAAAGTTTCTAATGCTATCAGTGCACGAGTCCGTGTAAATAATAAACAACTTTTTCCGGCATTACTTAGATTTGAAGGAACATGCATAATAAATGGGAGCTAGTTCAGAAGTAAGGATAGACAGCAATAATCTTGCAAATGTCTGCCCTGTGTGTGATCACCAGTTACAAATATTGTCCCAACATAGCCAATTGCTTTTGAACCATGTGTATATATATATAGGGGGTGTAATTTTCACATTTATGTTTGTGCTCAAGAAAATGTTGTCTGTATATGATCTCATTAGTGTTTCTTTTTTCAGGTCAGTGAAAAACATCTAAAAGTTGTCCCAAGGTGGAATTTCAAAGTGCTGTACTGCTTGGGTATATACATCAGACACATTAAATTCCTTAATCATGGAAGGAGCCCTTAGACAGATAGAAAGCACACAAGAAGGTGTAGCCTCAAATAAAGGATCACACATTATCAAGCAAAAAGGTTTTGCAAGGATGGTATAGTTGGGATATAATATATTGAAATAATAATGAAAAGACATCTGCTTACGTCTTAAATGGAGAGATGATTCATATAAATCAACATATACACTCTGGACAGGAGACATTCTGAAGGCTCAAGAACTAATCCACATGGCCTAGTGATGGACAGAATGTAGTTTCGACAAAACTGGAGAATGTGCTGATCCATAAATAAATGAACCTTAATCTAATCTAGATTGGACAATCGCTCTATATATTTGAAGCAAGATTAGTGCACAGTGCTTCAGAGGTGTTTAAAAGGACTTTCATAATATTTAAAATTTAGCAACACTTCCTCAGGTAAAGGACATTAGGAAGGAATGTCAACTTTTGTCAAAATTACTGCTTGCCTAGAATTTCACTTTAGATTCAACTGGAATCGATGATTCATTTAGACGTAATTCAGATTCAGTATAGAAACCTCTCTTCTTCAAAAGTGCACCCAGTCTTTTGTTTCAAAAACACAAATGTTTCTTTGTCTGACCATTTCCTGATCCTGTTACAGGTGATCTGCAATTGTCTCTCCACATATTTTATATCTGCATCTTGACAACTAATGTGAAGGTCATAAATGTACTATGATCCTGAACCAGTAGGAGGAAGTTCTTTTAAAATGGAATTTATTTGCAAGCCGAGCAAAGTCACATTTAAATCATAGCCTTGAGGCCCACCCACTTCTTGTTCAAAGTAATCTGACAAAACAGAACCAATCTTTACTTTAAAAGTTGTAGCCTTCAAAAAACTTTGAATGAAAATTGAGAGTGCACATGCAAGCCACTA